GTATTATATTTTATATTAGTAATTTTAACAGACTTTTAAATACTATTTTAAAAAGTTTAGAAAATATACTTTGGAACTGGATTAATGCTTTTTTTTTAACAAGAATATCAAAAAATCTGATATATTTGACAAAGCTTGCACTATCCTACTAAATTTGTCTATATAAAATAATAATAAAACACAGTCTTGTCAGCAGTAAAAAAAAAAGACACTTCACTACAGATAGAACTTGAAAGTTACTGGAGGAAAAAGAACTAAGACATGCATACGATTGAAATGTCAAGGAAATATATGGCGTATAAAACCTTTTTAAGAGTGTAGCGAACGCTGGTTGACCTTGACTCTATTAAAGAACCCAGCAATAGATTTGTGAAGACAATTTCACAGCTATCTGACAGCTCAGGAATCTTTGAAATCAATCCATTTCACTTCAGGCRTGCTGGAGGATGCCCCCCACCCCGCTCTCTTTCTTTTCTTTTTTTTGGCAAAACAAATTGACAATGTGGGCAAAGGGAGTCATGCTCAGTCGAATCCCTCATGGTTGAAGAAGCCATTTGCTGTCATGTTTTACAGGTTTCCGCCGTGCTCGCTCAGTGCAAAAACACATGTTGATGAGGGGAAACACCTTAGAACTACACGATTAAAAAAAAAATAGTCGTAAAGTGCATGCAGAAACTGGCACACGCTCAGGTCACATACAGCACAATAGCCACTGTATCCAGGAGACAGTGTGGAACAATCAAATAAAAAACAAAACGCTCCATTTGCAAGTGCATAATTTATCCGGTCAATAACAATAAACTCAAGGCCGGCGGTGCCAAACCATGCTTAAAACAAAATACCATAAATCCATAAACATCCACAAAGTTTCTTAATGAAAGGCACAATAGTTGAGGCAGTTTGGTAATGTTGCAGCTTTAGATTTAAGGAAGGTTTTGAGAAACACATTTTGCTTTTCAAGCGAAGAAACTGGTTTAGAAAAGTCAACTACATTAAATTTTTTATTTGAGCCAAGGTAAACACCAAATATTGTCCTTTCATTGTGGCACTAAAAGTAGACAAACCTGCTGTAGACTGTGAATTAGAACCTAACAACCAGTCTGCAGTGGTAAGCATTGTGATGTTATCACCTATGGGAAAGACAAGAACGGCAAAGGGACACATGACATGACTGAATGATGGAGTGAAGGCACTGCGGTGTGAGTTTGAAGAAAAATAAAACTCTGAACTCCAGGCTGAGCTGAAGGCTCGTTGGCAGGAGCTGATTTTAATAACTTGTTGGTTTAACTAAACAAAGGCTCAGATTTAAAGCGCAGGTGAATCACCTGAGCAAATAAGTATGTATAGCAGAGACCACATTCAAAACTTGACCATTTCCATGCTGTGGGCTTTGAATAATTACATGGTTACCTAAACAAACAGCTAATAAGCACCAAAAAACAACTACTGGAGGCGCTGAAACATGCAACCTGCAGATGTTCAAACAGAAAATAATGTTTTAAAATATTTGCAATGGTAAGCAAATTTAAAGTAAATTCTTACCACTGTTTTTTGCAATTAAAAAAGGTAAGTTTAACGTAATAAAAGTTAATTTATTACAAAAATACTGTAATACAAAGAAATAATTTGGATTTTGTCACTTCTATAGGATTAATATTACATCTAAAACTACTTCAAGCCATCACATTTTCATTAAAAACTCTAAAATCACGCAAATATAGCACGTGTACCTTCAGTGCCATTGGGTGTCATGGAATTGTTAGTGATGTGCGAGTTGTCGAGGTTGGGACCATTAGGAGATTCGCTGCTTCCACTTACTCGGCTGTGAGGACTGGCGAGATCCTGCATTTCCATAGACCTGACACACACACACACACACACACACACACACACACACACACACACACACACA